CAGGTTTGGATTCGTCAGGTTTTTAGAAGTAAAGAACAAGAAGGAGCTGGAACGGCAGTTGGATCAGATCTGGGTTAATGACATGAAATTATGGGTTAATAGTCCGAGATATGATGTGGAGAAGATTAGAAGCAAGGAGAAGAGATCCAGCGGTGAAGGGACATCGCAGATGAATGTTCCTGTCTATGGTGAGGCCAGAGAAGAAAAAAATAGTGGAGGAAGGGTAACTCGGTCTCAAAACAGGAGTTATGCTGAGGTGGTGAAAGGAAAACAGAAGGAAAGTCTTATAGAAGAAGGGAATTCTCAACCTCAGAAAACCCAGGAAAAAAGCATGAGCAGAACCAGAGTCGGGCCTCATAAAAGGGAGCCAAGGAAACGGTGGCAAGAGAAAGGAAGGAGGGAAGATTGGATTGGAATGGAGTACAACATCAAGCCAGAAGAATTTTCATGGCTCAAAGGGTGTTATGTGGGCACAGTACATTCAGTAGAAATGGTTCGCAATTTACAAGAAAAATTCTTTATGGAAGGGTATTTTTTTTGTAAAATCTATGCAATGGGAGGAAGATTGGTCTTATTAGACTGTGAGGATAAGGGGGAACTTAAGGATCTGGTGGAGATGGCAGCAGAGTGGCTTGGGCAATGGTTTGAAGAAGTGCGCCCTTGGACTCCAGAAACGGTTGCTAATGAAAGATTCGTATGGATGAGATGCCAAGGGGCACCGTTGAACGTCTGGGGAGTTGATTTTTTCCAAAAAATGGGCAGCTCATGGGGGAAATTCGTTTGCTTGGATGATAGTACAAGCAAAAGAAAGAGATTTGACATTGCTAGATTTTTAATCTCCACCCCGTTGACAAACTCAATCTCAGTCTTGAGGCAAATTAAGATTAATGGGGTTATCTACAGTATTAAATTCACAGAGGAAGAATTCACTAATAGCTTCTTTTCATTGAAGCAGGATTTTATGCCTTCATTTCATAGTGAATCAGAGGATCAGGAAAAGTGGTCTACCGAGAGTGAATTGGAAGAGCTCAAGTCCGAGAATGCAAGGGAAAAGTTGCAGAGGGAAGCCGAAGGTTTCCAGGAAGAAGACGCTGACATGTTGAGTAGCTTTGGGGAAAAAGTGAGATCGGCTCAATCCCAAAGTGGACAGGAAAGTCAGAAGTCAGCAGATTTTGTGGAAGACAGCTTGGAAATAATTCAAAATTTGAATGAAGTGGGAAAAAACGTTGAGGCAGAGACGGACACCAATAAGCTTAGGAAGATGGCATCACCGTTTAGGCCTGAAGATGTGAAAGGGGTTGATTTGGGCTGTAAAAAGAATGATCCAGAATGCAAGAAGCCCATGAGAAAGGAAGAAAGCTTAGAGTGTGTGGAGTCTACTAATGTGGGCTTGGGCCAAGGCAGCTTGGAGGTAAATAAATCATATGCAAAGGGTAGTATGGAGTTTTACAATAAAAATGTATCTGCAGAGGATAAAATCGAGGATGAAGATGCAGATCTGGACTGGATAGATTCTGAGAGTGAAAACGGAAACACGCAGAGAGGGATGAGTACGCGGAATGGAAGAATCATCAAAAGGAAGGGGCAGCGGGTAAGAAAGTGCAGCTCGATCTACTTGAAATCCTCTGAACTGGGCGGTGATGTTCGGAGATGCCGAAGCCGAGGAACGGGAAGGCTGAACAGAGAGTCGGGTGTGAGGAGATCATTGCCAGTTTTTGCGCCAAGCCCGAACGGGAAGATAGCAGGAGGCTCTGTTGGCGACTCAGAGATTCATCAATGTAATAAAGCTTTGAAGAAAAAACTACAGAACAGATTAGCGAAGGAGATATGGGAGCTTGCAAAGCAAATGGGGGCATCGACGGAAGACGAGGAGGAGATAATTCGGAGGATTGAAGAAATGGAGAGTAGAGATAGTCAAGGGAAAGCGACCACCGGAAGTCACAAGGAAGCCGGTAGCAAGAAGGTATGCTCAGTCCTAAATGTTAATACTGTCATTTAATATTAGAGGACTTGGAGGGGTCGGTAAGAAAAGACAGATTAGAGAAATTGTGTTGAAGGAAAAGATAGATTTTATAGCAATTTAGGAGACAAAAATGGAGATTGTGGATAGAAGCTTCTGCCGAAGGGTCTGGGGGTCGGATAACTTAGATTGGGTCTCAAAACCGTCTAACGGCATGTCTGGAGGTCTACTGTGCATTTGGAATTCTAATATTTTTAAAAAGAAAGATGTGGTAGAAGGGGATAATTTTATTGGGGTGTATGGAGTTTGGGGGGAGGAGGAAACTCCAGTATACATTTTAAATATTTACTCTCCTTGCCAAATTCCGGGAAAGAGAGCTTTATGGGAGGAGTTGTACAACTTGATTAGAAGTAAAAAAGGTTGCTGGTGTTTGTCAGGAGACTTTAACTTAGTTAGAAAAACAGAGGAAAGGGCAGGGTGTAAAGGAGTGTCCAGAGAAATGAAGGAATTTGATGAGTTTATTTTGAAAGCAGAATTGATTGATTTGCCTTTGCTGGGAAGAAAGTTTACTTGGTACAATTTTAACGGACAGCAGATGAGTAGAATAGATAGATTCCTGGTTTCAGAAGACTGGATCTCCAAATGGAGCGACATTAAGCAGTGGGGGCTGAAACGAACAGTATCAGATCATTGTCCAATCCTATTGAAGAATGAGAAGGTAGATTGGGGTCCAAAACCTTTTAAATTCTTCGATAGTTGGCTGGAACAGCCTGGGTGCAGAGAAGTAATTAGAAATGTGTGGAAATCCACGGTAGTAAGGGGGGGGGAATGGCTTGATACTCAAAGAAAAACTACAAAAAACTAAGAAAGCCCTAAAGGAGTGGAGTGCTAAATTAGTGACTGAGATGGACAGAAGAATAAAAGATGCTGAAAACTTGATAGCCGAGATTGATGGGAAAGGAGAGATCAATCAGCTATCCACAGATGAGATTGAAATGCGGAGGAACAGTTTTCTTGATTTATGGAAGAATTTAAGTATCAAGGAGAGAATGGCGCAACAAAAATCAAGGAAGATGTGGCTAAAGGAAGGAGATGCGAATACAAGATTCTTTCACAATTGCATCCAAGGAAGGTGGAGAAGAAGTGAAATAAATTCTGTACAGATAGCTGGTGAACAGTTCACGGGAGTGTTGAGAATTAAAGAAGAGGTGGCCAGATATTTCGAAACTCTGTTCACAGAAGAGAGATGGAAGGGACCAAAGCTTGATGGGGTTAGCTTTAAGCAAGTATCTCAAGTGGACAATGAGCTTCTTACGAGTGCGTTTTCAGAGGAGGAAGTAAAGGAAGCAGTATGGGATTGTGATTCTTCCAAATCTCCAGGCCCAGATGGATTCAATTTCAGATTCATCAAAGAGATGTGGGAAGATATAAAGATGGAGGTAGTTGCTTACATCCAAGAGTTTCATAATCTTGGTAGAATTGTCCGGGGAGCCAATGCTTCCTTCATTGTGCTAATCCCAAAGACTGAAAACCCCCAGAGAATCGAAGAGTATAGACCCATTTTTCTTATAGGGGTCATGTACAAGATCATAGCAAAGCTGTTAGCGAACAGGCTGCGAAGGGTGCTACCCAAGGTCATTGGGGAGCAGCAGATGGCATTTATTGGGGGTAGACAATTAGTGGATGGTGTTATCATTGCAAATGAAGTCATTGATGAGGTTAAAAGGAAGAAGAAGAATTGCTTCATTTTTAAGGTTGATTTTGAGAAAGCCTATGACAAAGTATGCTGGGAATTTCTGGATTATATGATGATGCGACTGGGTTTTAATGAAACATGGAGGAAATGGATAATGGAGTGCCTGAGATCAAGTTCGGTTTCTGTTTTAATTAATGGTAGTCCTACAAGTCAATTCTCGGTTAGCAAAGGCGTATGTCAAGGCGACCCGCTTTCGCCATTTCTTTTCTTGATAGTGGCAGAAGGGTTGAATGGTTTAATGGCCTTGGCAGTGGATAAAGGATTATATAAAGGAGTGAGGGTTGGGAATGAAGGTGTCATGGTATCACATCTGCAATTCGCGGATGACACAGTATTTTTCGGGGAGGCTTCGGAAGATAACATAAGAGCGGTGAAGGCTATTATGAGGACCTTCGAAATGGCTTCAGGACTAAAGATCAACTTTGGAAAAAGCCTTTTAATGGGGGTGGGAGTAGCGGAGAGTTGGCTAACAGAAATGGCTTATAGATTGCACTGTAAAGAAGGGGAACTTCCATTTAAATACTTGGGAATTCCAGTAGGGGGGAATAATAGAAGGAAATCAATGTGGCAATCACTGGTACAATCAGTGGAGATGAAACTAGCTAGCTGGAAGGGTCGTTTCCTTTCTATGGGAGGTCGTATCACGCTCATAAACTCAGTGTTGTCTTCTCTGCCCGTGTTCCTAATGTCAGCCTACTTAATCCCAAAAGGTACACTCTTTTCAATTGATAAAATTCGTAGACGATTTTTATGGGGTGGGGGGGCAGATGAGAGGAAAATAAGTTGGGTAAATTGGGGGGAGGTATGTAAAAGTAAAGCAAAGGGAGGGTTGGGAGTGAGAGATTTGAGGAAGTTTAATATGGCACTAATGGGGAAATGGTGGGGTCGGTTAGCAAAAGCAGATGAGGGACTATGGATGAAAATAATTGCTGCAAAATATGGGAAGGACGGGAAGCACTGGATGGACTGGATTAGAGAAAACAATGGAGGGGGGTCCTTATGGTGGAGGGATGTTTGCTGCCTTAATAGAGTGAACGAGGAGAGTGTAGGATGGCTGTCGGAGGGATTTAGAATGAAAATTGGGGATGGAAAATCAGCTAGCTTTTGGTGGGATAGTTGGGGAGGGGAGGGTTGCCTTGCTAACAAATTTCCTAGGCTATATCTGCTGTCAACAGGGAAGGAGAATTCATGCAACCAAATGGGCATCGTAAGGAGTGGATTATGGGAATGGAAGTTAAATTGGAGAAGAAATCTATTCGAATGGGAAGCTGGAGAGGTCGTGGATCTCGAAAGGATGATAGAGGGCGTGAAAATTAGTCAAGGTCGGGCCGACAAATGGGAATGGATTCACGACAAGGAGGGTCTATACTCAACACAATCAGCATACCACATACTAGCTTCGGAGCAAAACGGACCAGGCGGACATACAATTTTCAAAAGAGTATGGAACCCAAGCCTCCCAACCAAAGTTTCAGCATTCAATTGGCAATTAATGTTGGACAGAATACCAACCAAGGTGAACTTGCTGAAAAGGGGGATTATTAAAGACAGAGAGGAGAGCAAGTGCGGTGTATGTGAAGAATATGATGAGGTCTCAGCTCATCTATTCCTGAGGTGCAGGCTGTCCCGAGGGCTGTGGGAGGCATGTGCCAAATGGTGGGGGGCCGAGGCAAAACTCGACATCGACTGTGTGAAGACTTTTGAAAAATTTGGAGATTGGTGTAAAGGAACTCGAATAAGATAAGGATGGGATTGCATATGGAGTACGGTGGTGTGGACAGTGTGGCTTGCTCGCAATCAGAAATTATTCCAGCACAAAGAGATAAATGCGGGGAAGCTGTTTGAATTAATTCAACTAAGGTCTTTCTTATGGATTAGAGTAAGAAATGACAGGTATGCCTTCACTCTTTCTGATTGGCTTCTTAATCCTGTTGATTGCATAAAGGATAGTTGTAGAAGGAGGAAAGCCATCAAAGGTAAAACCGGATGTAATGTAATGGCCTCCTGATTGCCTTATTAGTTACTGTGGCAGGTAGTAGGAAATAGAATCTTGTGCTATGCTTGGTAGGATTATTCTCACTGTTTTGAGGATATTGATGGTTTTATTCTCACTGTAACTACATAGGAAGCATTGAGCAACTATTTGACTCTACTTGGATTAAAGACAGAGTCAGTAGATGCTCAATATTTTCCTTGTTTGTGTATTATGGGCAGGAGTACCCCTTGTACTCTATATAATCAAATACCTTTTGCTGTGCAAAAAAAAATTGGTAATACAAACTTCAATTTTAAAAATTAATTTTAATTTTAGATCTTTAATCACACTCAGATTTTGCAAAATATTATTCATTGGCTGAGTAGAGTCTATGAAATCAAGGGCAATTCTTACTCATTCAATAACTCATTATATTTTGTAATTTGATACAGTAGATTTTAAAATTGAAAATTTTACTTTAATTTAAGAATATAACACACGATTGAATTTTTTTTAACAAAATTATAAATAGTTTATCTGGAAAAAAAATTGACAAAATTAATTTTTTTTACCTTGTAACCGTCAGCAACAATAAGTTCATTGTTGTGTCCGACGACGAGTCCAAGTGGTCTGCCACCAGTATTGACCCAGTTCTCGACCAACGAGTTAGCAGATGACTCGTTCACCGTGACTCGCTTGATCCAGCCATCTTCACATCCCGTATAGATAAGTTGCGAGTTGGGATCGTATGCAATATCCTCCGGTCCCTTGAGCTGCCCCTTGCCTAGAAATTCTGCTCCGGCCAGGATGTGGTCGTTAACCAGCAAGGCACTGATGGGGGGTACCGGAGACAACTCGTGGAGGGGTATAGGAGCCGGGTCAAAGGAATCGAGCTGGTAAAAAAGTACGGCTGCCACCAGAGGAGCCAGGAGCGTGGCAAAAACAACGACGAACGGCCGCCATAATCCCTTACCTTGCTGCACAGTGGCGTTTGCCGGCGAAGCTGAGTTAGAACTCGACGCAGGCATATTTGCCGGCAGTTTGGGTATGAGAACAAAACTGAAAGGTGAATGTGCGGATTTTTCAATGTGGGGACAGTCTAGGGAGAGCACATTTTTCAAGCTTTTTTTTTTTTTTTTAAGAAATATAATAATTAGAAAGTTAGTAAATTTAGTTGTTAGTATCTAAGACTTCCCAGATTGATGAACATTTCACTTTCTCATATGAGACGAACAATTATTAGATCGCAAGTTAATGAAGTTCACAACGATAGTAAAACTTGAAATCTCACCCACCCCACCCAAACCCTAAGGCTTGGCCAACCCCTGAGCCTTAGCCTGGTTGGCCATTTTTCAAGCAATTGTACTCTTGTAAGACGTGTACATTTTGTTGTCAGCATATTTACTTTTAATGGATTAGATTGGGGTAGAGTGTGCCTTTATAATTCTAGTAGGAAAAATTACTCTTGAAATATGCAAAGCACAATTTTTAGTTTTGAACGTTAAAAGTGCATTTTAGACACCAAAATTATTTTTTGTTTATTAATTTTATTTTTAATAAATTTTTTTATCATGTTATAGGATAAAAATATATTTTTTATATTTTTTATTATTAATATACATAATAAAATTAAAAATTGATATTAATTTTATCAATTATTTAATAAAAAAATATTGATGTGTCATACATATTAAAATTAATATTAATTTTTTTTATTTTTTATGTAAATTAATACATGATTAATTAATAAAAAATAAAATAAATGTACCATTATCCTATACTCTTAGAGCACAGGATAGATAAATCATTTAATAAATTTAATTTCTAATAAGAAATATTTAAATTTAATTATTTATTCTTTTTCTTAAATGTCATTTATTCTTTTCATTCAATTTTAGTTGAATTACAATAATTTCTATTTTTTTTTAATTTTTTATAATTACTAAAATCAAGTGTAAATTGAATATTTACAATATTAATTTTTATATTCAAAGATTATGTAATATCTTCATACTTCCAGACTTTCACATCCATATTTAGAAATAAGTTTATAGAATGCTTTTCTTGTTAGAAAGAATATTAATCTCTTCTAATATATTTTCTTGGACAAAAGTTTAATTTTCATATCTGTGGATTCATCCAACGACAGGCATGATTTAAGCTTTCAACGTTCTAGAACATATTTAATAGGTTCTAGAATGTATGATGAATCTTAAAATGAAAGGCTTTCCTTTTGAGTAGCAATGGCTAGATTGAATTGAATTGAATTTGTATACAAGGGTTTACAAGGATAGACGGTAGGAAGAAGAGGAAGAACGTAAGAAAAACCCTAAGTGCTGATCTTGTGAAAAAAGCTCTCAATATTGAAGTCTTGTTCTTGTGCCTTCCATTGTTTACTCGATTGTACGTGTTATAGTATATTTTCTTTTCC